TATATAAGCGCTAAGATTAATTATATATTAAACTCTATATTATTTAATATCTCGCTATTCTCTTAAATATATATAAATTAAAATAGTATTATATATTACGCTAGCGCGCTTAACTTAATAATAATAGATTTATAAAGAATTTTAAGCTTTATAATTTATATATTACTCTATAATAATAATATTAATATAAAGTATCCGAATTAATAATTATCTCTCTTTTCTATTTAAAACCTCTTTATATTATAAATTAAGCTATTTATAAATACTTCGCGCGATTTAATCTTATCTTACTATTCTTTAATATAATAATAAAATCTAGAAACTATCTCGATATAATTATTAATAATTTTATTATTTAAAAAAATCGATTTCTAAATAATATTCGCGTTATAATTATATTATAGATATATTAGAATATTTATATCGAGATAATAAAAGAATATAGAGTCTTTAAGCTAAGAAAATTTTATATAATAGAGATATAATATTAAATATATATTTTCATCTAATTAAAGATACGCGTAAAGAGCTTAATAGATTAAGTCTTATCGAATAATTTATTATATTAATAAATAGAATATTATTTAGATTTAATCTTTATTTAAGACGCTATTCTATTTCGTCTAATAATAAAGATATATATTAAACTCGTCGATTATAAATTTATTAATTCTAGCTTTATAACTCTTTTTACTAGTAATCTTATTCTATAACTATTAAAATATATTCTTAATAATAAAATTATTTATATTAATCTAGATATCTTATATATTCTTTTTACTAATCTCGATAATAATAAGTTATATTTATTTAATAATTAATAGATTAATAACGTTATTTCTTATTACTCGCTTTATATATACGCTATAAACATCTTCTTCTCGCTATAATCGCGAGCTTATTTACTATTAAGTCTTAATATTTAGATAAATTTTAAAAATATTAAGATTGCGATAATAATCTTAATATTTTCTTAATCGATATTAAAGGTCTTTTATATTATAATACTTAATTTAAAGATCGAAGAGTGTATTAAAAGAACTTAGATAATTATAATAAATGTAGATTAATATTAATTTTAAAGCGATAAGAATATAAAGCGTGTTTATTCTTTTTATATTATCTACTATATCGATTATAATAGAATTCTTTTATTTTATTCGCTTTAGAAAATCGTTAAAAAGACTCTTATACTTATAAATAGATTAAGTCTATTTCGCTATAATAATATCTTTATTATTATTTATATAATCTATATCTTCGCTATTTAAATTCTTATTATTATTAATATCTTTACTCTATTAATCGATTAGCTTTATAATATCGCTTTTACTTCTTATCTTTATAGTCTTTCTATAAAAAGAATATTATTATCTTTTATTAAAAAGAGAAGTTAAATAGCTATCTCGATTTCGCTTAAATTATATTAAGCTTATATATTTTATATCTAACTTCTTAAATTTAATATTTATAAATAATAATAATAAGTAAAATTAAATAATCTTCTTATTATTAATATTCTAAAGATTTTATTAATCTTTAAAAATAATTTCTCTAATATTAAAACGCTTAAATTAAGTATATCTTAATCTTCTTATAATAAATGCGATTATTATATATATCGCTTTAATATATAAAAATCGCTTAGTCGTATAATTAATATATTTAAGATAGTTTTTATTTAAATCTATTAACGCCTAGCCCTTAATAGTCTATCTCTAGGCCTTTTAAATAATTATAATATATTTATTCTTATAATTTCAATTTTCGCTTACTCGCTTTTGTAGATTCTTTAGAAATATTAAATTTAAGATATTATAGACGTTATACTTTATATTAAAACTAGCTTTCTAAAGTTCGTTATTTATTATTATTCTCTATATCTCTATTAATATCTTATTTATAATTTTTAAGCTATTTATAATCTTTCTTAGTATATTTTCGATTAATATTAATTATACTCTATTATTATTAGCTTATATAATTAGATTATATATTCTTTATTTAATATTTTAAATTAATATTTTCTCTAAAGCTTTAATATTAAGAGTAAGAATAAAGCTAGATATTATAATATAAGATTAAAATAAAATTAATAGCTTAAAGAATTAAAAGAAATTATTAAAAGAATTTGAAAGATAAAGTTAATTTAAAATATTTTAAAATATTTTAAAATATAAAAAAAGAAAACTTATAAATAATAAAAGTAAATATTAATAAAGGTAATAATAATAATAATTAGATTAATAAATAATAACTATTATATTTAATTAACTAGTATATTTTGCTAGCGCTTTTTAATCTCTTTAAAAAAATTATAAATTTTAAAATTAAAAGTTGAAATTTGAAGGGGGAGAGGGTTATTTAAATTATATTAAAGATAGAATATATAATTAAGATAATAGTATTATAATTTTAGACTCTAGATAGATATTAAATTATAAAAGCGCGTAGCGCGATTTTATTATATATAGATTATTAACTTAGATTAATATCGAAGCTTATATCTTAAATAATAGTATATAGATTATATAGTCTAATATTAAGATATAAAATTATATAACACGCTTTTATTATCTATAGCTCTCTTCTAATCGCGATTTATCTTTACTTATTCTCTAATATATAAACTAGACTTAACTTATAATCTACTTTTTTTTTTAACTTTTTTAAACTATTTTAGAAATTATATTACTTTAATTATCGTTATTTAATTAAAATAAATTTATTCACTCTTTTAATAATCTTTTCTTTTATTTTATTACTATAATTAATATAAATATAATCGCGAATAACGACTAGACTTTTTTTAATGTAATTGCTATCGCGATAATTAATAATAAGTTATACGATAAAATAGCTAATAATAAGTTATATAATGAAATAGCTAATAGTAAGTTATATAATAAAATAGCTAATAATAAGTTATACGATGAAATAGCTAGTAATAAGAAGTAGAATAAAGCTTTAATACGAATTTAATATCTCTTTTCTATATATTATTATTAATATAGCTATTAGTCTAATCTCGACTCTAAATTAAAAGTAATTTAACTCGAGAAATATATAAAAGATATTTTTTTAATTAACGAGGAGATTAAGATAAGTAATAAGAATATCGAGAACCTATTCGATTCGCCTTCTTTCTTTCTTCTTATCGAGTCTTATATTAAAAAATTAAAAGACTCTTCTAACGCTATTAAGAAGTCGATTAAATAGAAGAAAATAATTTTAAAGTCGAAGAAAAGACTTTAAAAGAATAAATTTACTTAAAAGTTTAAAAATAAAGAATTAAAGAGAGCGTATAATGAATTTATTAATAACGAAATTAATAATATAATAACTTTCGAGCTAACTTTTATAAAAAAAAAATGCGGAATATTAGATATAACGAAGTTAGTTAAAATAGTAATAGCTAAATTCTTCACGAATTACTATATTCTCTATAATTCGAAGAAGGAGAATATAAATAATTTAGTCTTTTATCCATATATTAAATTCGATAATTATTTTTTATATACCCTCTTTATACTCGCGGATATTAAAGATTCTAAACTTATTTCTTAGAGCGATATTCGTCTTAATAATCTATATATTACTATTATTATTAAATCTAAATAGTTTAATAAGAAATAACTAAATACGTTTTAAAGAGCTAAATTTAATTCGAATAATATAACTTATAATCTTTATAATTCTCTAGAGTATATTATGAAAATCTATAAAAAGGCGAATAATATCGATATTAATAATAAGATTCTTATTAAAAAGAATAAAAGTTAATATTATCTTTAATATCGAAGACTTTATATACTAGATAATTAAGAGAGTCTAAATAAAAATCTTTACTTAAAATAATTAAATTTTAAAAAAGATCTCTATATCGAAGTAACTTTTAAAAAAAGCTATTTTATAGCTATTTAATCTACGCCTAGCTATTCTAATAATAACGTATTTTCTCTTATACTAGATTTTATATAGTTAATTCTAAAAAAGAAGAATAGCGAAGTTATATCTGCGAAAGCTATTTTAAATAAGAAAGAGAAGATATCTAAGAGATTAAAAAAAAATAAAGTTTTATTTAATTTCGCTAAGAATTTATAAAGTAAAGACTTTAAGTAATATAGCATTTAATAAAGAAATTAAATAAGAGATTAATTATAATCGAGATAGTTTTTTATAGCTTAATTATATAGTAGCTAGATAAATTCTATTAGATAGTTAATAAATAAATCTATATAGATCTCGCATAGAATTTTTAGAAGTAATAAATTCTATTAAATATATATTTAATTAAGTTAATATATAAATCGCTAAAAGATCTTATAATATATAAATATACTTAATACTATATAAAGTATCGTATTAAAATTTATCTATAATAAAATTACTCTTATATATAAATAATATTTATAGTATATAAATATTATATAGAACTATAAAAATAAGTTTTATTTTATATTATATCGCTAAGAGGATATATTTAATCTTAAAGTAATAAAGCGTATATATCTTAATAATCATCGATAGAAATAAGATGAATTTAAATATAAATTTCGAATTTGCCCTTAAACGTGCTTTTTTTAGATTTCGCAATAAGTAAAAGGCGCTAACTCGAAGGGGCTTAGCGAGACGAGCTAACCCGAAGGGGCTTAGCGATCTTAGTATATTCTAAGGAACTGAGGTAAGAAAGTTTCGCTAAAGTATACTTGATTAGTCATCCTAGTACAAGATGGGCCCCTCCGTGGGGCAAAACCCCAGTGTGTTTCTAGGCTTCCGATACGAGTTAATTTAACCGTACTTCGCCTTGCAGAATGCAAATAAACAAATGACTTCCCCCCGCCAGTTTCTTGACATTGTAAGCCTCTGATTAGTCCTAGATTTTCCTCTTTTTGGCAAGTCATATGAATCTCCAAGCCCGCTGACAGGGTCAGCCTTATCTTGCCTTTAATAACGATGCTCTAAATAGCGCTCTCTAAGTCGTCCTGCACTCACGAAGCATGTCACCCCATTATCCTCAAATCAGTGATACCACTGGTGGTAAAGTGGAGGTGCCCCAAGCAGTCATCGCTCAAGCCGAAGCTGCTGCCAACTCAAATCAACCGGAAGACAGTCAACGTCATTCTCAATCTGCCTCAGATCAGACACCCGAAGCCTCGGGCTCAAAGGAAACCCATTTGCACTCTACTGCCAACCGTCAAAAGTACGCCTATTTGAGATCCTTCTAAGCACATCCCTTGTATTCCTCCTGCTAGACTCACGGGCTTGGCAATAGCTGTGCTAGAGGCTCACAAGCACATAGGATAGATGGTGCTCGATCCAGCAACGCCCAACCATCAGCGAGTACAGAACAGCCCATCGAACAAGTACCGTCAGTGGCCTATGGTACGCAACTGGGTCAGGTTGACTTCAGCCAAGACGGGTTCGACACAAAGGCGAAGGTTGCAGGTAAAGATGTCCTTTTCTGGCTTTTGGCGCAATACTGGACTAATCGCGCCCAGACGATGGTCGTCTCAACATTAAAATCAATCAGAAGACTCGAGGCCTGTCCGACTTGCTGGTGCCAGCTTTGCGAAGCCAGCTTAACCTGCAGCAGGTAGACCATCCAGCGGACCACCCTCCTGGCTACATTCCCCCTGCTCTGGGCGGACTTCCTGGCCAAGCGCCTCCTCCGCCGTTGAATGTTGTCATTCATGTTGTTGGTTCACGAGGAGACGTCCAGCCCTTCATTGCTTTGGGCAAGGTTCTAAAGGAGACCCATGGACATCGCGTAAGGCTAGCCACCCATGGGACGTTCAGACAATTTGTAGAGGAGAATGGCTTGGAGTTCTTTAGCATTGGTGGCGATCCTGCGGAGCTCATGGCATTCATGGTGAAGAATCCTGGTTTAATGCCCGGAATGGATTCCCTTCGCAGCGGCGACGTTGGTAAACGACGTAAGGGTATGTATGAGATTGTGCAAGGTTGCTGGAGATCCTGCATTGAAGTTGGTGATGGTACTGGTATAAGAGCTTCAGACGATCATCTGGACAGTCGTTCCAGTCTCGACAGTGGAATTGGTATGGACAGTGACCCGTCCGCAAAACCCTTCGTGGCCGACGCGATCATTGCAAACCCACCGAGTTTTGCTCATATACATTGCGCCGAGAAGCTGGGAATCCCCTTGCACCTCATGTTCACGTAAGTACTTTGAGTGGCTTCCAGCCGTTGGGTAGGCTAAACCAAACCAACAGTATGCCTTGGTCACCGACGCAGGCTTTCCCTCATCCTCTGGCCAATATCCAATCATCCAATGCCGATACAAGCATAACAAATTTCATGTCGTACGCTTTGGTAGAGATGATGACGTGGCAGGGCCTCGGCGATATAATCAATAGGTTCAGGGAGAAGAGCCTGAACCTAGAACCAGTGAGTCTTATGTGGGCACCTGGTATGGCGAGTCGATTGCGTATTCCATATACGTACTGTTGGTAAGTCTTGTATTTTGTGACCGCTCCACTTCCATTACGGGATTGACATTTTGATTTGCAGGTCACCGGCTTTGATCCCTAAGCCCAAAGATTGGGGTCCCCACATTTCTATTTCGGGCTTCTATTTCCTTTCTTTGGCCAGTAGCTTCACGCCTGAGCATGACCTTGCCGCTTTTCTTGCGGCAGGACCACCACCAGTCTACATTGGATTTGGATCCATTGTTGTCGATGATCCAAATGCCATGACGAGGCTCATATTCGAAGCTGTCAAGAAAACAGGTCAACGAGCACTAGTATCCAAAGGCTGGGGTGGATTTGGAGCAGACGCTCTTGGAATTCCAGAAGGTGTATTTATGCTCGGCAATGTGCCTCACGACTGGCTCTTCAAGCATGTTTCATGTGTGGTTCACCACGGTGGCGCTGGCACAACTGCAGCCGGAATCGCACTCGGCAAACCGACTGTGATAGTCCCATTCTTTGGAGATCAGCCTTTCTGGGGAGCGATGGTTGCAAAAGCAGGAGCGGGACCTTTACCAGTACCCAGCAAGCAACTCACCGCGGACAAATTGGCGGCGGCGATTCTCGAAGCTCTGAAACCAGACACGCTGCAGAGAGCACAGGAGCTGGGAGCGCGAATAGGTTCCGAGAAGGGTACAGATGTTGGAGCACAGAGCTTCCACGAGAAATTGGACGTCGACTCTATGCGTTGCCTAGTTTCACCGAGTCGCGCCGCTGTATGGCGTGTCAAACGAACAACCATTAGGCTTAGTGCATTCGCAGCAACAACCTTGTTCAACGAAAATCTTTTGGATTTCAACAACCTGAAACTGTAAGTCCCTCGGTACTTCAACCGTCTAGATCTGATGCTGACTAGCACAAGGTATCGACCACGAGAGTACGACTCCGAGGATGGTCCGTGGGATCCCATATCTGGTGGTGCATCAGCGCTTCTTGGGACTCTCGGCAGCCTTATGATGGGTTTTGCTGATTTCCCCGTCGAGATATTGAGAGCGCTAAGGATAAAGCCATCAGAGAACATCGCTGATTCAGAAGGTTCGTGTCACTATCCTGAAGTTGCTTCCCGATCCAGTAGGAATGCTGATCGCCTGTCCCACGAGCTGCAGTCCCATCAGCTGGAGAGAAAACAGCTGGAGAGAAAACAAAGTCTGCAAATTCCTCCAAGGTATCACTCGATTCAGCGCCAACAGGCGTAGGAAATCGCGAGGACTCGGTTGACCCTGCAAGTCCATTGGAACTCGGCGATTCCAATGAAGCACCGTTGTCGCCTACAGACACGGATCGCCAAAGTCTGACTCGACCAGGAGCCAGGTCGCATCGTCCGAATTCGATGAAGAGTGCCCTGAGAGGCTCTCTATCAAGGTCATCTTCACGGAATTCGAGCCCCAACAGGCGAGCGCCACACCCCCATAGAACTCTATCTGGTAGTCAAGCAGGTCAAATATCTCTAGAAGCCGCCGTTGGAGCTGGTAAGAGCATCAAGCAAATTGTTGGTGCAGGTTTAAAATCGCCTATGGATTTTACGCTTAGCCTGGCAAGAGGATTTCACAACGCACCAAAGCTCTATGGCGATGAGAGTGTCCGTCAGGCAGACAAGGTAACTGGTCTACAAAGTGGTTTGAAGGCTGCTGGCAAGGTATGGATGGATCACCTAATTGATATGCCAACGCGAGCTAAAGATCGCAGGAATTTGGATTTGGGTTCTACGATGGTATATCTGGCCTAGTTACTCAGCCCTTGGAGGGTGCGAAGAAGGAAGGCGTCGCAGGTTTGATCAAGGGGTTCGGAAAGGGCATCGGAGGAGTCGTCTTGAAACCGGGTGCAGGTAAGCATTTCCACGATGAGCCTTTCTATACACCCACTTACTCAATAGCTATCTGGGGACTCCCGGGCTACACGTTTAAGGGAATATACAAAGAACTCCAGAAGCATTTAGGCTCAAGTGTTCAGAATTATATCGTTGCAGCTCGTACGGCGCAAGGGTACGACGAATGGCACAATGCGTCCCCGGAGGAGCGACTCGATGTTGTCAGCCGATGGCAATCAATCCAGGTCGAGATCGAGAAAGAGAAACAGCTCGCACGGCACGGCGTTTTCCATGGACATCACTGTTACCTCAAAACAACCATTGAGGAGAGAAGGAAGTCGTCCGCGGAGAAGAAAGGGAAAAAAAATGCGAAAGGCAATGCCACCGCAGATGCCTTTGCAGAGATACGCGCTTCTCATCCTCTTGTAGCTCAGACGCAGAAGTCCAAGGAATCTGACCCAAGTCACGATGGCGCAGACTTCGAAGAAGCTATCCGGACGTCTGTCGCAGCCACGTCTCATGGGAACCCCGAAGAAGACCAGGTGATTGAAAAAGCAATCAGAGCAAGTATAATGGAGCTTCACCTGGCGTCGAAAGAAGGTGACAACGATGAAGCCATTCAGAGAGCGATCCAAGCAAGTGCAGCTGAAGCCACTCAAGCTCGAAGTGAAGACCGTTCAAAGCCTCGACCTACCACTTTGGACGGAGCCGGCGATCACGAGAAGGAGCTCGCGGTAGCTTTGCAGCGCAGCGTGCAGGAAAACCAACAGTCGGAAGCACGACACCCACTCGCTGATGCCGATTTCGATGACTCGGGCGTCGATACCGATGATGATGAGAACATCAAAGTTGCAATCGAAAGGTCAAAGCCTACGCCCATAGGACAGCCAAGAGCTGGAAACGACGAGGATGACTTTCAAACGGCAATTGAACTCTCCAAGAAAGCCCATGAAGAGCACGAGTACGGCCTGAGCAAATCAAAGACAGAAGAAGAGATCGTGCTTGCATATATCAAGAAGCAAAGTCTAGCCGAGGAACAGCTCAAGAAGTCTGTTGCTGCCAATAGGGATTAATGATTCGCATTGAAGCGATCAACCTGACATCTATGTGCTTGGTGGTTCACTTTATTGAGCGATGATTACCCCATTAGCGTTTCTATGCCCTCTATACCAGGATTTCTGACAGTCTCATTACTAACATAGCAGTGACCAGTCGCTCCGCGTTTACATAGAAAAGAATTTTCGCAGATGCTGCAGCTGTCATTTAGTGTATCCAATACCGTTGTACTTTTTTGACACTGCAGACTTGCTCCCGCATCCACTATACAAGAAAAAGAGTGAGGCGCGTACCTTAGACAACATACTGTTACGAGCGTACCCTGCATCTTCCTTAACACACTATGTAGCCCTATTGCTTATTCGGTCCTAGCGTATCTTGGCAGAGGTATCTATCAAAATATGAAGGTAGAATACTTGATTATATTAACTATGAAGTTACTATAGAGAAAAGAGCGATTTATTATAAACGCGCTAAGACGCGTTATATAATCGCTAAGACTTATTATATAATTACTAAAAGTTATATAATTCGAAACTTAATATTCTTCTTTATATATATTCTCTTTTAAGCGAAATTCGATAAATATAAAGTCTAATATTAATAGTATTAAAATCGAGTAGATAAAATAAAATAACTTATTATATTTTTACTATATTATTAAAGTAAGACTAGCGTCGAATAATTAAAATAAAATTAATTTTAAATAATTAAGATAAGATTAATATCGAGTAATTATAATAATATTTAAGCTAAATAATTAAAGTAAATTAGCGCTAGATAATAAAAGTAGAATTAATATTAAGTAATTAAGATAAGTTAATATCGAGTAACTAGTATAAAAATATACTTATTATATTCTCTATACTTCTATTAATATATATAAAAGAATAAGATAAAGCTAAGTTATAAAATCTTAAATTTATATATATAATTAATTATAAATATAAGATTATTACGCTTTTTAGCTAGACTATCTAAGTTAGCTCGCTAACTCTCTTAAGATCTCTTATTAAAAAGATAAATATATATTATTTATAAATAGAATAACTTTTTTATTTTCTATTAAAATTTTAATTTTTTTTTAATTATAGATTATAGTTTACGCTTTTTAATTATCTAAAAATTATAATATTTAATCTTATAATTATTAAAGAGTAAGAATCTTAAATATTTTTTTTAGAATTCGCTTATTAAATTTACTAATAGTCTTAATTAAAAAATAGATATATATTATTTAAATTTGAAAATAACTTTTTTACTTTCTATTAAAATTTTAAAATTTTTTTAAAATTATAGAACGAAATATAAGCTTTTAGATAAAAAAAGAATTTTTAAATTTAGTCTTATAATTATTAAAGCGTAAGGAATTCAAATATCGCTTATTAAAGTTCGCTTATTAAAGATCGCTTATCTATTTACTCGATAGATCTAATTAAAAAAAAAATTATAAATTTAATTTATAGACCTTTACTTATTTTAATATAAAGAATTTAAATATTACTTATTAAAAATTTATCTACTTTATTAAGATTATTAATATATTAGTATATATAATAAAATAAGATAGAGCTAAGCTATAAAATCTTAAATTTATATATATAGTTAATTATAAATTTAGAGTTACTACGCTCTTTAATTAGATAGACTAAATTATCGCGAATAAATAAATTGGCGTTATTAACTATTAAAATCTCTTATTCTATTTCTACTTTTAATAATTTAATAACTTTACTATTTTCTATTAAAATTTTAAGATTTTTTTTTTAAATTATAGAGCGTAGATTGCGCTTTTAAATAATTCAAAATTTCAAAATTTAATCTTATAATTATTAAAAGCCAAGGCATTCAAATATCGCTCATTAAAGATCGCTTATTAAAGATCGCTTATCAAATTTACTCGATAGGTCTAATCAAAAAAATAATTATGAATTTAATTTATATATCTTTACTCGTATAAAATAATAAGATAAAGCTAAATTATAAATTTATAAATTTATATATATAGTTAATTATAAATTTAATAGATCTACGCTTTTTAATTAGATATCTATAAGATAGTAAGATCTCTTTTAATAAAACTACGTACGGAGGTCGGCATCAAAAGTCCTGGACATGCCAAGACAAGGGTCCAGGTAGGGCTGAGTGCTTGGCATACTTCCAAATTTCATAGATAGTATTATTATTCTTTATTTTAATAAGTATTAATACTCTATATAATAGCGACGTAGTATATATATACGAAGTATATATATAATAGCGATATTAATAGAATATATAATAGCGATAATATTAAAGTATTAATTATAGTATAAGAAAATAGAGAAAGAGTATAAAGACTTTTAATATATAAGTCTTATTTATATAATATAATAAATAGAAATCTTCTTTCTATTCTCTATCTTAATTATCTTTTATTAATATATTTAATACTTAGAGTATTAATTATAATAATAAGTATTACGTTTTCGTAACTTAACGTAGTTTAGTCTAGCGTAACTTGATTTAGCGTGTAACTACTTTCTTCGTTTCTTTATAGCTTAGAAGTTTCTTTAATTAATTAATTAGAATTATATAAAGAAACACCTTTCTTCTTCGTGAAATTTCTTTCTCGAAGTATATATATACTTCTTATATCTATAATCTTAATAATAAGACTTAAATTTAAATACTTATTAAGTCTTATTAACTATAAATAAAACGTTATATTACTCGAAAAGATATATTAAGAACTTATAAGAAAGTCGAAAGATAATAACTATGTTATTAAAATTACGAGCTTATTTAAAAGAGAATTTAGAAGTAAATAGAATAAATATCGAGATATATTACGAAGGTAATACGTTTTAAAGATAATAACGAGTATAGAAAAGATCGTAAAAGAGATAATATACGATTATACGACTCCGTCGAGCGAGCTAATAAGTATATAGGCAATTATATAAAGCATTATTATTAAATAAATATAACTATATAGAAAGTATTAAGAATACTAAGAGTATCAAGTATTTTAGCGCTGTTTAGAACTTTTAGTGTCGATCTCCGTAGTAGCTATATAATTATAAGATCTAGATATATAGTTATAAGAATAGATAGATTAATTATTAGATAAACTAATAACTAAAAAAAGAAGAAAAGAAAAAGAACTCGCGAGTATTTAAGACTTTTATTAAATATATTAAATACTTATTTTAATTATATAGCTTATAAGCTAGTAAGTAGTATAAATAAGATCTATTAATAGATTCTAAGTACTTTTATTTTTATAATTACTTCTCTTTTTAAAAGATTTAATCTCTAAATCTTATTATTATTATATCTTATAATTAAATACTTATAAACTTATTAATTTCTTATATATTATTTATAATTAGTTTAAATATAATTTAAACTAATATATATAATAATAGCGTATTTAAACTATTTACTTTAAGATCTTTTTAAATATATTAATATATTAATATATTAAATTATAATAGTATAGCTATATATATTATTATCTTAATTAATAAGATATAAATATATAATTACTTTATTACGATACGCTATTATTATTATTATTATACGCTATTATTATTAATATTACTTTATAATCGTAATAATCTTATTATTATAATTTTAAAAATCGTATTAATAAATATAAAATCTTATTTTTATCTTAACTTTTTACTCTTATTAATAATATTAATATTAATAATATTATTAATAAATACTAAGCCTTTCTTTATATTTATTCTTTTATCTTTATTCTTTTTTATTATAATATCGTAATAGCGAGATATATATTATTATAATAATATAATATATATATCGATTAAGATAATAATTAAGTAAGATTAAAGTTACTTAATTAAATTAACTTTATATATAATAAATATCTCGAAAAATACTTTATAATACTTTTCGAATAGTTTAAAAAGTATATTAGTATTAATAATAGCACTTAATCTTTATTTATATAATTCTATAGATTATTAAATAGCTATAGCTATCGTTATTTCTATTACTCTTACTACTATTAATAAATATTTATATTTATTTTAAAAATATATTTAATTAAAAAAACTTAATAGCTTCTTCTATCGCTATTTCTATATCTTTTATAAATAAAAGAGATATTAAATAATTAAGAGATTACGCTAATATATATAAAGATCTTATATATTTATATTATATATATACTCTCGTATATAACTCTTATATAATCTATATTACTTTATCTATTAGTTTATATTAATATAAATATAAATAATACTTTCGCGAAGATTATATTTACGTAGTTAATCTATTTTTTCTCTATTATTAAATAATTATATTTACTATAATTATCTTTAGCGAAAATATTTATTATACTTTACGCGTTTAAGATAATATATATTAGAGTATATAGTTAATATAAATAATTATTTATCGTATCGCCATTCTTTACTATTAGATAATTATTTTTACTCTTTTTACTATTATTACTACTACTTCTATTACTAAACTCTCTTATCTTTTAATAATTTTTATTAATAAAAAGTTATTTTCTAGTATAAGAGAATAGATAGATTAATATTAAATAGTATTAATAATAATTATAACTCTTATAACTTTTTTATAATATATAACGCTTTAACGCGTTAGATTATATATTTATATATAAATCTATAAGCTTTTAATCATTTTTATTAAGTCTTTTAACTATTATTTATTTATTTATTTAAACTCTCTATTACTATTACTTTCGCGATTTATCTTATTTTTTAATCTCTTTTAATAATTATATTTTTAACTTTATTTTAAATACTAATTTATATTATTTTTTTACTTATTCGAAGTTTTTAATTACGGCTTTAGTATTTTTAAGATATTTTATTAATTTTTATAAAGCTTTATAAGATAAAAAATTCTTTTACTTAATAAGATACTTAATCTTATCTTTATAAACTCTTCTTTTTTATTATTTAAAATTATTTAAAATTCTAAATTATTATTACGCGAGTATTATAGCTTTAATAATAAAATATAAAATATA